AAGGAAGCGCCCGAACTGCCAAGTCTTGCAAAGCGACGCCACCCCCGCCCCCTCATAGACCTTTATCGCCACCCAACGAGGTCGAGACAACCAGCGTCAAGGCAGTTGCGTTGACCAAGGTCATGACGGTCGCAGTGCCAACCAAAGTGGACGCCACGGCCGATGCCGAGCCCACGGCGCCCGAAAAAACGAGTCCCAAGAAAAACCCCATCGATGTTGCCCCTGCACCGTCGGGGCCCTCCCGCAGCCGTCTCGACGATGCCACCGACGCATTGCGTAGCCTTCACTTCGACTCGTATTATGAAGACGACTCGGACGAGACGCCCCTGCTCGAGGCCAAAAGTGATGCGACAGCATCACCTGTCTACAACGACGCTGGGTCCGAGTGGGTCGTCTGCCAAACCGAGGCAGGGTACGCGTACTACTACAACACACGGACCCACGCGTCGCAGTGGGAAGCGCCGGGCACGGACGACAATGGCCGCGAAGCCTTCTTTAGTGCGGTGACCGCGGGCGATGTGAACGCGGCGACGCGGCTGCTCTTGCGTCATGGGCGGCAACTGCTCGACATATCGGACCACAACGGCCGCACCGCCGTGTGGTATGCTCTCGGGCACATGAGCATGGCGCAACTTCTCTTTGAGAGTGGTGCGAACTTGAACCGCACGGACGTGGACGCCAATGGCCTCGTGCACGTCGCAACGCGGCAGCGCAACGTTGCCTTTCTCGCGCTCCTCGCCGTCTACGGCGCGGACTTGGACCTTGTCGATGGTGCGCAGCAGACGCCGCTGCACATTGCCGCCGCCTCTGGGTACCAGCGCTGCGTGGACGTGCTACTGCGGCACGGCGCGACGCCCGACGTGCTCGACTCGGCCGCCCGCTCGCCACTGCAGCTAAGCACTTTGGGCAACCACGTGGCCTGCGTCCAGCTGCTTCAGAAAGTGTCGGCGCAGCAAGCGCCGGTGGCCGACATCGCTCTTCTGACACAGGTGGCTTCCATGAACCGACGCTGTATCGTCTTAGCGTTCTTGTAGCGGGCAGCGCTGGAGCGCGAGGTGGCCATGGCGCACGTGCAGCTCGATGAGGTTGGCATGTTGCTGCTGCTCGCAGGCGATATCCACTGGTCCGTACTAGCTGCAAGAACGCTACACGACGCTCGAGACAGCGCATCGCATCGCCAACGCCCGCATCGTCATGCTGGAAGCGGTCGTCGACCGCTGCGAGAAGGACCTCGATGCCGAGCGCGCGCTTTTGTGGCAAAAAGTGAATTGGATTTTTACAAATCTGCGTCTCAAAAGCCATAGGAACAATCGTTCAACGACGCCCAGCAAGCCCAGTACGCGACGCTCCAAGACCTCCAGCGCCAAGTCGACGACGTCGTTCAAGTCGCCGCGTACGTCGATGGGTCAGCGCTGCAGGAAAGGGCTCACAAGCTTTTTCGTAGCCGGTCCCGGTTGGAGGTGACCACAATGGCGGCCGAAAGCCACCTCCCTGAACGAGAGAACGAGAGGTCGCTTTACGTCGACGAAGGCGACGCGACGTTTTTGGGGCCGTCCGACACGATTGCCTGTACTTGCTCCTCTCCTTCAGTCGAGCGAGAGCCCATGCGGGTATTTTGACTAGTCGATCATGATGAGGACGACGTCAAGGACGACGAGGCACCGATTGCACCGGAGCGCGTGGGGGCCATCTGGAGTGCCTTCTTCAACAACGCCGCCAAAGCACGCGTCCAAGACGACAATCCGTCCAAAGTATTGGACGCGGTCTATGACGGTGACCTCGTCACGTTGCAGTCGCTCCTCGTGCACGGCGCGTCACCCGATCCGCGCAACGACGACGACCAGACGCCGCTGCACGTTGCGTAAGACGATCGATTGTGGCCCATTGATTGCTGCAGAATCGAGGTAGAAGCGCGTATGGTCGACTCGAATGCGTCTCGCTTCTTTGCGAGTACATGGCCGACATGGAGGCGCGAGATGCCCACGGTATGGACGCTCTTGGCTACAAAAGTTGATGGTGGAGCGTAGGCCACACGCCTTTATTCCTCGCGAGTCGTCGCGGGCACTTGAGCATTGTCAAGTTTCTTCTGGAGAGCGCGGCTGACGTACGTACGGCCAACGACGATGGCCGAACGCTTGTGCACGCTGCGGCGCTCAGCGGCTCCTTGCCCTGCCTCCATCTCGTGCTCGAGGTATGAATGTATCCGTCTCTTAAACACGTTGTAAGAGCTCAAGTGTAGTACGGTGGCGACCCATTTGCGGCCGATCGCGACGGCGAAACACCGTACGAGATGCTGCTCGAGCGAGGCGACGAGTCGGCGGCGCCGTTACTCGACTACTTGGACAGCCAGTGCTCGCTTCGCCAGCCGCCCACATCGCCCCGTCCAACGTCGCCGACCGTAGGCCGCCTGTTCATGCAGCCGTCAAGGATGCGACGAACAATGCGACTAGGCGGCCGCGCCAGGGCAGCGCGCGGCTACGAGCAGCTATGACGAGGATGAGGGGGATGAAGCACCTCGGGAAGGCTGGCGAGGTGTACGTACATTGTGGCGAGCGAAGATAAGTTCTTAGTTTGCCACTGTAGTGGATTCGTGGCAAAGCCACATCGCTCTTGGGACTCGACAGAACAGCTGCAAGCGAAGCCAATGACCAAGCGGCTGCCGAGGCGCCGCTCTCGCCGCTCAAACCACCCACGGACGCCGAGGTCGCGAGCTCGATGGCGTACCGTAAGCTCGTGCCGCCACGTCACGTCGAAGAAGCCATGCAGCACCTCCAGGTAGCTCTACAAAGATCGGGACGAGCGTGGCGAACTCTGAATATCGTAGTCGACTGCGCTGCATGCTGTCAGCGCCCCGTCGTCCAAACGTGGTTTGCCCCGCGACGTCGCCAA